TGGTACATCCTCGATGCAATTACAGCTGCCTGTAGCTCTAGTCGGGGCACTGTCAGCTTCTTCAATGGAGCAACTCGTGACTTGGCGGTTACGAACCGCACTCCAAATGAGCCGTCTGCCAGTTGCCATCTCAAGTATGCACATGCTCCGAATGCTTCTTCCGATGCATCAGAGAAAATGCAAAGCATGGGTGATCCCGTCACATCAGCTGGAGACAGGCAACGGGGGAATGCAATGTCGTTGAGAGATTGCATTTCCTTAAACAGCGTAATCCACTTGTTCTGCTCTTGGGTTGGTAGTTCCTCATCCCAACCCAAGCCTTGTTGCCACAGGTGCTGCATGCCAATTTTTGCTCGAATCAGGAATGCGCCTGCAAATCCTATTGGGTCAAATATGCTGGCAATTTGACTCAGGATATAGCGTTTCGTCAGTTTGGGTTTGGCATGGTCTTCTTCGGTGATTCGTTTGTCAATAGTGACTTTGAAGGAGATCTCATCTGTCTCGTGGTTCCATACGGTTCCCAGTAATTTTCCTTGGCTGGGAGTATCGGGTAGTGGAGTATCTCCTTGTCCGCAGCTGTCTTTCCTCAGTGGCTTGTTAGACAGCCATCCTTTGACAGCAAATCCGCCTTCAGCTAGAACTTCATCTATTTCTTCGGTTAGTTTTCTGCCTTCTTCCACGGTACAAACTGAGTCACAGATGTCGTCCATGTATGTATTCTCTCTAAGAACTCTGGCTGCATGTGGGAATCTAGGCTCTGCTGCCACTGCTGTTTTCCTCAATGCTGTCTGGGCCATAGCTGGGGCTGGTTTATCCCCAAACGTCAAGACTGTTTTGATGTAGACATCCGGCACTCTGTTGAGATCCATGTTTCTCCACAAGAAACGATGTACGTGCTGATCTTGCTCTGGTATACGGATTCTGTGGTACATCTTAGATATATCAGCACATACTGCCACCTCGTTCTCACGAAACCTCATAATCACTCCAAACAGGCTATTTAGAAGATCTGGTCCCTTGAACCAGTAGT